TCATTCAGGAACTTATTTCCTGAAAGAGGAAGAAGCGCTACTATAAATATATGTACGTCAAGTAAGATTGATACTTGATAAATATCTAAAAGAAAATGACTATGCGTTTTAAATAATACAAGGTAAATAATTATCATTATTTTCAACATTAACAGCAAGTGTGAAGTAAATATAGCATTACGATCCTATTTTGAGCGTTGCATTGATGCTATGGCTTAAGTTGGTTAAACTTCAGACTGAAAAAAATGGCGCCCTTTGACATATATAATCGTCACGAGATTAGACAGTTGTCGACCGACAGTGCCGATCGAAAGTTGGTCGCGATTTTCACAAGCGTGAAATACCGAGCATCATACCAGCTGTAGAAAGGGAAGTGCCAAGGTAAGACAATCTAAGAGCCAGTGAATCGTTTGCTCATTGCCAAGGTACGTCAAGGTACTTGAAGTCTGGGTGTGCCGGGACGGTTATAATCGAAATAGTCTTGAATACGCGGGTGAAATCGAAAGGCAAGAGCAAGAAAGTGCGCAATTCCGATATTGCACAGCATGTGTCGGTGGCTGCGCCACATCACAGTGTACGTTGGAGCACGCGGTCGCCAAACGGTGCGACGAGGCCGAAAGAGCCTTGGGTAGATTTTACTGTAACGTTCACCAGCGTGTGTACTCAACTGGTGCTTTACTCTTTATCTCCATTTTAATAGAAAATCTAACGTTTTACCTTTTAAAAATTTGACAATCATTCCATATTCTTACGAACTTTCTGAACGCATAAATTAGAATATAAATTTAAGTCAAAATAATTCTACTTCTGTAGCATCTAGAAATACAAACTCATATGATAAATAAAACTTTATATTAATTAGATATGAAATATTAATAGTTTGGCAATAGTTATTTTTGTCATAGTATTATTTTTTGGCATTCCTTGATTAATATTGTATTGGTTATAATATTGTATTTCTGTCTCTTTTTTTCTCTATAGACTTAGATATGGTATATAAATCATTCAAACTCAAGAAAGCGCTTAAGACTTTCTTTACATCCTATAAAGTATCGCATAATTTAGCTAGTCCACATCTATTTTTAGCTATCTATGTTTATCTATGTTTATTCTACTATTCCACTTGGAACAGTAGTAACACAATACGTAATGGGTTACATTAACATTCAATTTTCACCTCGACCTTGTCTATATACCATCAGACTGTCCCTCATGGGTTTTTCCCACGTGAATAAAGCCATGTTGCGAAAATCGTCTTTCCTAAGAATAGGCACACGATGCCCATAATTTCTGTTTGTTCCAATCGTAACGCAAACAAATAGTCAGACGATTTTGCGGTCCTATCCTAGACCAGTTATACGCGAGAGACGCGGAAAGAGAACCGGGAGAGAACCGAGCGGAGTCAGCAATGTCAGCGACAGCAACAGCGACAGCCCGATCTTGGATTGCTCGCGCGCGCGAACCCCACCTAAAACCCCCTTCACCTTCGTCGACCGCGATCGGCGCGCGCGAATAAGAATGAAAGAGGGGAAATTTTCAACGTCATCGTTTCGCGAACTCGAGAAGTTCGTTACCGTCGCACGCGACGTTCGTCGGACTTGTCCGACAATTCACAGTATTCACCGCTTAGGCAAAATCGAGGAACTTCGCCACCTACTACGCTTGCCTACTTCACCACCCGATCTCCATCAGCCACCTTTCCCTCTGTCTCTCTCTCCACCTGAGAGATATAACCATGTCCGCTGCCACCGCCGCCGTCACCGATCTGAAAAGGAGGTGAACGCGTGCGAGAGAGTACCATTGGGTAAGGAATTGGGGCAGGAGCCAATGGTAAGGAGCGCGAGGTGGAGCGATAGATTTTAAATAGGTGTGCAGGATTTGTGCGTGGATACGAGAGGAAAAGTTGACGGTGACCGATATCGCGGAGGTACCGCTGGGATTAAAATTCGGGTGATAAGAGTGTGAGGGCCCATTGTGCGGCGGGTAGTAGCACAACCTGCCCGGGGACTACAGTACACTATCCTACAGACATACTATCCGTTCATTGTGGTGGTAGTTTCCTACCCGAGGGATACACACGGACCGCGGTGTGAAACGTACCGAGAGGAGTGACGGTCCTGCTGATAGAGCGGCGAGCACAAAGTACGTCTCAGTCGACGCTGAGCCAGCAGTGCGCTCAGCAGATCCGCTCGAGGCGGTAGAGAGTCCTGAGAGAGTCGTTTACGATCTCGTTTGACCGTTCTCTCTTTTCTCGAATTCGGTATCCTCGGTTAAAGGGCGGCCATGAGGTTCTACGGCTACCGGGCACTCGTCGTGCTCGCGACAGTGCTTGCCCACATGACCGGCACGTTCGCCGGACACGACAAACGTCAAGCAGCCAGTGCCAGGAGCGGTGAGTCATTTTCTTCGCTTTGGTTCTTTCTCTCTTTCTCTTCTTATCTTCTGCTTTCGCTACTTGCCCGTGTTCTCCTCTTCTCCCATCATCCACAACCCCTTCCATCTTCATCACATTCGCGCGCCGCTCGTTGCGCCTCCTTCGTTTTGCTATCTGCTTCTTCTTCTTCTTCTTCTTCTTCTTCTTCTTCTTCTTCTTCTTCTTCTTCTTCTTCTTCTTCTTCTTCTTCTTCTCCTTCCTCTTGCGACCGACATGCTGTAAAGTCCATCAAGTATCTTGATCTCTTTCTTACACTCTACTTTTTCTCAGACATTGATCCTTTATCATATTTTTCCTGTTCTCTGTCATATTTCTTTTTATTCATCTTTTTTCTTATTTGCTCATTATTTTCTTTAGTTCTCTTAAATTACTATGGCATTTTTGTTGTATGGTATTTTTGTTTTATCTTCTTTTTATTCCTCTTTTTATATTCTTTTTATTTTTGGAGACTTTTAATTTGCATTGTTTTTTTCTTTTCTTTTTTACTTACTGATTTCTATTTACTTTTCCTATTAAATAGATCTAATCATTGATGTCATTCTTTTTTCTCTTTTATCTTTTATTCTTTCACTTTTTTGTTGTTTTCTCTCTTTTTTTTTCTCATGTATTTACCTTCTTAATAATTAACATCTTGCTTACGCCGTGATTATATAGATATTCAAGTAACTCTCGGTGGTTGCGATAATATTGATAAATAAAGTGAAGTGTTGGGTTATGCAAAATGCGTAAGAAGATGACGACAAGTATGCAAGTGAATCACGGTGTTGTGTCTATCGAACATTGATTTAGTTGGCGAGTTAAATGTCCCGAGACAGAATATAATGAAGAATATAATGAAGCTAACGTAATCCGATGTGTTATATATTGTGCTTGTGGTTTACCGCGCTATGTTGCACAAAGAAATTTGCAAGCAATATCTTGACTTTAGCTTTCGGTACACGATATTGATTTACTTTTGCACTAGAAAAGTGTAGAAGAAAAAATACGAATATGAAGATACATAAAATGTATTTACTTTTGCACTAGAAAAATATATAAACTTTTTATATTTTTGACTTGTATTCTTGAAAAAAATCTAAAAAAAACTTTCTTTTTTTAAATGAATTGTGAAATGAAAGATATGCCACGAAAAAGTAATTATAATTTAATTAATATAAATATATATATTTTTTATAACTACGATTTTCTGAATTAGTATTTTTTATATTAGCATTATTTTTATAGCAAAAATTTTAAGATGTACCACATATCTTGACTCTTGGAGTGTTCTCCACGCAATAGCGGTACTTAGACCGAGAATTTATAAGCTGGATTTATGTAAATAAGACCTTCAGTGAGGACAAAGTAAATCAGTTAAATTCGTATAATATTATATTCAATTATATTGAATATTCTTATGCGAATTTTATTATATATCTTAATATGCTTATGCTTTTTTATTTGATTAGAAAATACATATTTCAAAGATGAAAAAAATTTGAAAAATGTTATAGAGTATTTATAGAGATTTACGATGTTTTATATATCAAAATATAAATCGAAATAAATTAAAGGGATTAGAATAGACTGTAAATACAATGAATCAAATCTTAAGACTACACACAATTTGCAAAATGTGATAATAGTTTATTCTTTACTCACTATTTTACTATCGCATTTTGCGAATTTTATCATAAAACTTTTATCTATTTATCTATTTTATCTATTTTTATTATTTATCTATTTTTTTTTACCTTTTATCTAATTTTTGAAAAAAAATTTGTTAAACTGAAATGACAAAATGGCACATGTGATACGTACATGTGATACGCTACACCGTTAGGTCGACTAGCTTTGACAAGCTATTTCTCTTTCACGACTTAAATCAAAGAATTATAACAACATAATTTCCGAATTAAACAGCACTCGACATAGATTCGTTGAAAAATAGTAACTTCCACAAAGATTCGGGTCGATAGTTGATTTTCAAGCAATGCCTCTTTTAAAGATCAATTTACAGTCAAGTCGTAACTGTAAAATGTAACAGACGGCTCATGATCACTACTTATGAAAATGATTGCTTTGACTAATTGCTATACTCGAGTGGTAATTATTTTTGTAGCTAACAGCCATTGATGGCTTTTTATATTTCAATTGCGATTAATCCGCATATCCTTCTTGCCTTCCGATAGATATTTCACCATAAGAAATTGTCCATGAGAATTGTCCTTTTGGTTTCTAATGCGATCGATCGTAAAGAATTCGACATGTCCTATATATAATACAAAAACTGGATAAGACATCGATAATGCAGCCTTGCGTGACAATTGCAATTAACTGATAGAGATTGATGATGATAGAGAATGGCAGAGAGAAAGTAGCGAGTTCTTACACGCATCTTTAGTAAGACATAAATTCCAACGCGTTTAATGTAGGGTGAAATGGCAACTATTGTGTTAACAACATTGAGAAAATAATTTTGCATATTAGATATGTTTAAAAATAAAATAGTTGATTGTAATCGCAATACTCGTTTAAAAATACTGCTAAAGAAGGTAATTAGCTTAAAAAAACATTGCGTTCGTATGTATTTAAAATAGAAAATAAATGAGAAAAACACTTCATTAAAGATCGATGAGCAAATTTAAGATGTTAACTTATTAAAAAATTTTATTATTACAAAAAGATATAATTAATCACTCAAATTTTACAGATCTTTGCACATTGTATTTTATCATTCTATTTAAATTAAAAAATAACAATGTCTTTTCCTAAACAAAAATATTGAGCAAAAAATATTATATTATCATATTATTAGTATAATATTATGATATATTTTGCGTATGTTATAGATAATTATTTTTCCATTTATAAAATTCCATTTATAAAATTATAAATTACTCTTCGTATAATATATATTGTCTTTATTTAAATAATTTATATCAATTTCTAATAATATCTTGATGTATTCAAATATTCCTGATAATACCTACTTATTTCTTAAAATTTCCATACAGTATTTTAACAAAATTAAAATATTATAATATTCCTGATATTTAAGAAATAAGTAGGTATTATCAGGAATATTTGAATACATCAAGATATTATTAGAAATTGATATAAATTACTTAAATAATATATTATACAAAGAGCAATTTATAATTTTGAAAAAATAATTATCTATAACATATCCAAAATGTATCATAAATATTATACTAATAATATAATATTTTTTGCTTAGCATTTTTGTTTAGGAAAAGACATTGTCGTTTTTTAAATAGTAAAGTACAATAGATCTTGTGCAAAATTCCAGCGACTCGTTGATATACCGGGATTCGATCGAGAAAATATATTCGATCGTTTGGTAAGTTCACTGAGAACAAAGTCGTGACCGAAACACATCAGTTCTCTCCTTCGAGCCTCCAGCATAATTCGTTACTTTGTTATCGGTTCGTTCCTTCCCGCAATTTAAGCATAGTACATCTCGTAAATTTGGTTAGATAGAACAGCACGGATTGAATCGACAGTTCGTACATCCTAAATTGGTCGATCTCAATTACCGCGAAACATGAACGTCGAACGATCACTTCCAATCTGGGAATTCGGACACGTTTTTTGTCTGTGAAATGCTCGCCTAACACATCGGAATTTTTTAATTATGTTGCTGCTGCATATATAACTTTTATAATAAATCAAAGCAAATTAAAAATGAAATTATGATTTTCTTGACACTCGTTAAGGTTTCTCGTTTACTTAATTCCATACACAATGAAAATCTTAGTTCTATTGACATAAAATTTTGAAATTTTTATTTTGAAATTTTCATCATGAAAAAAATTTTTAATTTTTAGAGTTAATTCAATCACTTTTCTCGCATTCATAAATATTATTGTTATGTATGCATGTATTTTGATATTACTTAAATGAGAATAAATTAATTAAGAGAAATATATAATATTTTATTTTCGGTCACAACGAATCTTAGCTTATAATAATATCATACGTAAATTTTTGCAAATACATTTGTCAGTTTTATAAATTTAATTTTATTTATTAATTTTATACATTACACTTTAATTCGGTTTATTGGACTTGAAATTCAATCACAAATTGAAACTAAAATATTTGAATATCTCAAATTAGATGATGGTTAATTTAATAATAAGAACATTACAATCTAAAAAAATTATTGTAATTGCAAGAAAATCTAGATATGAATGTGGATATAAATAAGTTTTAAGTGATAATTTCTCATTTTAACACGTACAAATTAATGTGAATAAATCAAATGCAAGTTTTTGCTGCGTCGCTAACGTGCGTCTGCTGAACTGAATTTAAAACAGTTTGATGTTTTCGGTGCCTCAATTTCCCAGACTTGGAAACATGTACCATGAATCTCTCGAATACGTTCGATTGCTATCGGAGTCTTCGAAACAAGTTCGGCGCGTGGAATTGCGAATGTTCTAGCATAGCGCCTTCGTCGTTGGCATTGCCACCAGAAATGGCTTTTCAACGAACGACTGGCGGCATGCCAGTGCATATAACAGTTCACCGTGGACTACCTAAGCAACTTGTTCACCTACATGCAGCAGCCATTCACACGACACGAGATCCTTCCGCTCGTGCCTTCGTTATTGCCTTACTTTATCAGTACGCCGAACTCGATTGCTGTCCCAAATTAAATCATTCGATCATGAGCAAGACTCGAAAAATATTTCTTGGAAGTACAAGCGAAGTTTTTCATATCTCATGTAGTTGCATTCTGTTTTAAATTTATTAAAATAAACAAGTAATAGTACATCGCATAAAGCATGAAGCAAAAATTTTTAAACCTCTTATGTCCGTTTCTACCAATGCAGTGTAACTTTAATCTTGATTCAACTAACTCTTCATCTTTCTCTAGTTTTAAGAATAAGAAAAAGGTGAAGAGTAAGTTGAACCGAGATTAAAGTTAATCCACATTGGTAGAAACGGGCATT